GAATCCAACTTGAACATGATGGAGTGTGATATCTTGAATGGGACGTAAAAGGGGTTGAGGATCTTTACGACTTACCCGAAAATGAGCGTTTATCCTGCCTTCCAAGTGTAGTTGGTATAGGACCTTCAAGTTTATTATTAGCAAAATTCGCTGTCAAATTTTCCTGCCAAAAATCAGGTATAAAAATTCAAATGGTAGTCGTTAGAAAGAAGTCAATCCTTGCAGGTGGAATCTTTTGAAAAAAGAATAAGATAACATTCTTTGTGTATAGTGTTAATTCCTAATTAAAGTTAGATATCAAATATCTAGTGATAATATTTTAATATGCAAGACAAACCCTTGAATTTGTGTGAGAACTTGTATTGTGTCAAACTGCGCTCAACAACTGAAAAAAGATCATGAATTTAAGTTGGTTGAAGATCAAATGGTAGTTTCTTATATTTCGTTACAAGATTAGTATCTAAAAAGGAATATCTTACGTGAAGTGGATCGTTAGATAATTTTCTTAGAAAAGGAATTGATATCTTCTGCAAGATAGGTGAGTTATTGAATCTTTATAATATTTTAGAGTGAAATGTGTATTGTTTAACACCTTTTGTGTACCATGTTTCAACTTTCCTGTGAGGTAAGATTTTGGTCCAACTGACTAATTATTAGTGTAGCTTTTAGAAACAAATTTATTTTTACGTAATTATTTAATTTTTTTCTATCGATTCGACTCTTAAACCCTACCTTATCGAGTTAATGCCCGGACACATCTTTAATATTTTTCAAAATTAGGAAAGATACAACATGATAATCCACTAATAGGATGAGGCATTATCCTTCCAGCTGTTGAACATATTTCAAGGAGATCAAACAACTCCACAGTTGTCTTTGTTGCATCATCCCTGTTGACTTCTTAGACGGTTTGGCCGATTATTTGTTAGTTTCTGAGTGTACGTAGTTTTTGAATACACAAAGATATATCCGATTAATTTGGTTCGGTTTGGTTTGATTTGGTTTCAGGCCATCCGAATTAAATGTCATCTCAAAGCATATGAGTGTATGTCTAATTTTAATTGAAATGAAATTCGTTAACCAGAATCATACGAGCTTTTACCCTTCTATTTTACACGAGATTCGTGTTCTCATTGAACTTATTGTAGACATCTGTGTTATCTTTTAACAGATGTGCCGCCACAGTCAAACTCCCCACCTAACAATGTCTTCTGCTCGGATCGCCCTTGAAGTGAGCCTTGGATCCAACAAGAGAGACAATGCCATGCCTCCGATTCATGGAACAAGTAAATAACGTTAAAAGTAGTGATTGCTATTGTAAGTATATTACTTCAATTTTCATTTTGAAAAATTTCAGAAATTATAGTGACCCTAAAGAGACTATTAGACACGATATCAAATCTTTATTGATATGAAAATGACAAATATACAAAAAGACTATAAATATTAAAACAACAAGTGAACTGCATGCCCTCTAGCCTCGGATAAATTAACCTTCTATTGGAGGGTTGTAGGGTGTGGCGATCACATAAAGGTTATTTTTTCTCTGCACACTTACTCCAGGTATCTCACTCATGTCTAGATCATTATGTTTCATTCCATGAGGAAGTTTCCAGTCAAAGTGATAAAGAAGTTGAGCTAAAGGCACCTCAATATTTGCAATGCCAAAGTTCAAGCCAGGACAAAACCTCCTTCCTGATCCAAATGGAATAAATTCAAAGTTATTTCCCAAGAAATCAACAGAACTATTCTCGAATCTTTCGGGTTTAAAGATTTCTGGTTCTTCCCAATATTCTGGATCTCTTCCCAAAGCCCAGATGTTCACCGCTACCTTAGCTTTGTAGGGTATGGTATACCCGTCGACTTCACATTCTTCCCTGCATGCTCTTGGGAGTAAAGTGACAGGGGGGTGTATCCTAAAGTTTTCCTTGATTATCAACTTCAGATATTTTAGTTTTTGAATATCACTTTCCTCGATTGTCTTCTTTCCTTTAAAGGCTTCTCTTATTTCAGCTTGTGCCTTTGCCGTCACTTGTGGATTTCTCATCAATTCTGTCATTGCCCAATCGAATGTTGTCGATGAAGTTTCAGTTCCTGCCGTAAACATATCCTGCAATAACACCAACATACTTATTGATACTGAAACAAAATCAACAATACGATGGTTTAGAGAACGTACGCAAATAATGTTTTATGGATAAAGGACTTACGAAGATGATTGCTTTGATATTGTCATCTGTTATCGGAACATCAAGATCCTCACTTTGTTGCTTTCGGAGGAGAACGTCTACTATGTTTTCACTACCCAACTCCCCATTGTCTCTTTTCCCTCTAGCTAGCTTACGTTTATGCTCATTGAGCATGGCATCAAGAATTGAATCGAGTTTACGACGCATCTTCAACAATTGATGTTTATTCCAACTGAAAATTTGAAGGAACTTTAGTGATGGGTACAAATCTGCCAATTCGAATCCCCCTGCCAAGGTCACTCCTTTCTTCATGAACTTTATCAAAGTGTCTTGTTGTTTCAAGATCTCACCGAAAGCTGCTATGGATGTGACTACACCTGTGAATGTGAATATCTTCTCGGTCATATTGAATGGTTCTCCACCATGTGATCGAATAGATTTAATAAGATTAGAAGTCTCATCTAGCCTTATATGACCGAATGACCGAACATTTTTGTTGCTCAAGAGCTCCATAATGCATATTTTTCGCATTTGCCTCCAGTGCTCATTGTATGGACTAAAGGCAAGATCCTTATAGTCATACCATAAAGTCTTCATCCCTATACTTTCTGGTCTGTCAGCAACAGCAAGATCATTTACCGTGAGGACTTTTTTGGCAATTTCACGTGACG